AAGAAGGGACTGGAAAGGGCCTTCCCAACCCAACTCCTGTAGTTGGAGACTCCCTTCCATTCAGTATCTCTCTATCATCCACCCAATGTGGGGTCAAAGAAGCCTGCGGCAATCACTCTGCAGAAGGTGAACTTGTTCAGGAAGCTTGGGGCTGGAATTGGGCTGGGGCTGAGGCTGCCAGCACACAGAGCCACAGCCAGAGCTGACTTCTAAGGGCAAGAGAGGGTGGGAAGAAAGAGATCCAGGTAAATAAAGCAATTGGAAGATGGGTAGGGCAGCCCCACCAGGTTATCAAAGGGATGTCTTTTTTCCCCCCTCTAATGATATAGAGGCCATTCCACATTCCTTGAAGAGGAACCCAGCTTCTAGGATCCCCGCTGGAAGGGGCTCCAGAGGGGGATGGGGAGCAGGAAGCTGCCGGAAGGGGCGGGTTGCCCTACCAGGCAGATGAGACACTCCTTAAATCCACAGATCATTGACACAGCTCCCTCCCTGCTCAAAGGTCCCCAGTGTTTGCTCCTGCTAAGGGGATCCTGCTCTGCCCAGTATTTGTAGCTCCTAGAGACTGGGAAGCCCAGTGGCCCACATAATCCTGATAGGGCAGGGCGTTTGAATTCACCTCAGCACACAAGTCTACTTTCTGAATCCCTTTTAGATCAAGGAAATTATTCATAGAATGAAGTCCTTCCAAAACTCCTCTTCTTCCTACACTAGGAAACTTCTCCCCATATTGACCTGAATTCCCAGGAGAATTGAGAAAGAGTGAGAAGGAAGAGAATGTATTCTGATGAAATTATTCAGTTGGGCAGTCTATAGTGCTATGGGAAAAAAAATAACCTGTTCAATCTCTACTTAATTGTGAGTTTAGGGAGACTTTCAGCCATTTCTTTCAATCAACAATCACTCACACAAAGAAAGACTCAATAATGGACGATTTGACCCCCAACCACCCCACCCTGCCCTGTCACAGTCCACTCAGCTAACATCTCAGGGAAGGAAATCAATAACAGTGTCCTTTCTGTAGGGCCTCCCCAGAGTCCACCACCTGTCCAGCCCCATCAGGCCACAATGGAGCCAAACATGTTCATCCTGAACAGAAGGGAGGGGCCGCAGCTGCCCACAGCTGCCTGGGCTTCACTCACAGGAGCAGATGTGGCCCTCACCCTACAGAGTGAAGACTGTTTTCTTGCTAAGCATTCTGGGTACCTGGTTCTCTCTACCTGGGGAAAAGTTCCTGAATTCATGTGAGGTCATTGTAGACTACAGTTGTATGGCTTAGATGCCCGGATGCAAGATCACAAGAGAAGGACTCCGAGCTGTATCACACTTCTCTTTGAGGGATTACTAAGTTTTCTGATTATTGCCAGGGAATACATGTTTCCCCCTGCTTCTCTGTTAAAAATATATTCTCATGGTCAGAGGATCAAAAGAAAATAAAAAGCCCCAAGAGAGGGGGTAATAGTTGGATACAGAAATTTGGTTTTGCTCATTGAGTATAAGTTATTCAAATAACTAGTAGTTGCCCATTTTCTTCCTTTGTTCTGAAATGAGGGTCTGTGGGCATTGTACAATTGTATAATACACTGTCATTCTGTCTGGTAGATGAACACAGAGAAAGATTTAAATACCCTGATACAGAGGGCCTTGTGCGGGGGCGGGGAGTCTTATAGATTGGTGTCCCCTAGGGACCGCAGGCTTCCATCCCAACAGAAACTGATTGATGCTGGCGAGAACCGGCATCTCTCCAGGTCTGCTTCAGCCAAATGTTACCACCTGGCTTTGGCATGGAGGGCCTTCAATTAGCATTTGTTCACTCACCATTGTCTCATGCCCGAATGACCTTTGTTTATCATATGAAAATTTGTTCCCAGGAAGCTCTACAGGGTAAGTTTTATGTGACTGGTGAGGAAAGAAGCTCAGATAAATGTTCCACTCTTCTTGATTGACTAGGCCCATTGACAAGCTGCTTTCTCTAGGGGAGTCAGGGTCTTAGAAGTCTGTGTAACTCTTCTATTTTAAAAAAGGAGAATCTGCAGCCCAGAGAGAGGTTAGGTGATTTTCCAAAGGTCTCATAGCTATACAAGTCCCTAAACTTAAATGAGCTAGTAATATGAGTTCTTTGCTACCCACAGCAGTCTGTACAGATGTTAATTATTACTATGGCTACTGATGCCACCCTGCAAACACATCCCTAATACAAAACCAACCAGCATGATTCAGGGAATCGGAACTCCCCACCCTACCCTACTCCCCTACATGGAATAGTACCAGAACAATAAGGTTCTGAAGTTATAATTCTGACCACTTCCCTAATACTACTTATTTCTTTCACAGGCACCTGCTAACTGAAGTGTGTTAGTTTATTGAATGGTGAATTTTCCATAAATTCTGTCCCAGATTTTATCCAATCGTCAAAGAAGGTCTCCATCTACTATTTGTATCACAGTAAACATTTCCTGGTGTGGGGGGGAGTCTTTATTATTAAATAAAAATCGATATCCTGTAGCTGTTCTCTGGACTCATGTCTAATTTAAAACGAGTAAATGTCATGCGTAGAATGTGAGTGTTGCCTGTCCCCGCTTCCTTTCTGCCCACATCGGCGTCTGTAGACCCCCTATGGCATACAGACCAAGAAGTCCACCACTTCAGATACATTCTTTAAAAGGCCCCAGTTACAGAGGTGAGTGAGTAACTAGGATTTGGCTCTGAATTCCTAGCCTAAGCTGCACTCTCAGGTCGTTTTTTGAGCAGCATTTGCCGGCGGGGCTTGATATTTTAAAGGGACGTGAAAATTGGTGAAACCGCCCCCACCTCTTAAGAGTGTGTGTGCATGGATGGGTTGTCTGATTACAAAAAAATGAAATCAGATCTTCGCCCTCCAACTCTTCTTAGCGTTGCCATCAAGGTTCTTTTCGTTTTGTTTTTAACGAATTAATAAGCAAGATGTTAATTGTTCATCCTGGAGCTGCACCAATTACTTCTGCCCCTGACGTTTCCTGAGCGCGCCCCGGAGCTGTCTCTTCACTGAGCAACCAGGGCTGGCGAGCGAGCGCGCTGGGATCCAAGTTGGTGGCCCGGTCCGATCAGCCCACATTTGTCTCCCGTATCCTGCGCACTAGAGGGAGGAAACGAGAAAGCGTCTGTGCCAAGCGAAGGGCTGCAAAAGTACAGGGCGTTTGAGCCAAGATATGCCCCCACCCCCAAAACTGCCCTGCCATACTTCAGCAGTCTCAGATGACTCGGGAAACGGCCTCAGCCTCTTGCTGCTCAGAAAGGGGAAAGTGAGAGGCTTTAGCAAGGGCTTTTGCCGAAGCCCTTTCTTGCCCGACGCCCACATCACGGCTGCCAGCGCTCAGGTGTATTTGGAAGAGGCTTGGTGCAGTCAGCATTCGTCCCATAACCCCCATCTCCTTCGAAAAAGACAGATTCAGTGTTTGCCTCCACCAGTACCCTTTTTCCGCGGGAATAAACAATTTACCGGGCAACATTTTAACTGTTGAAATGTAATAGTGTAACTGGAGACAGCGGGTCGTGCCTGAGAAGTTCAGGTCACACTGGCTAAAAATAGCGCCGGGGGAATCTTGCCGGGGTGGATTCTTCGCATCTTGGGTTGAGCACATTTACATAAAGAGAGTGGACTCTGCATTTTAGGGCTTTGGATTCACCTCAGGGCTGGGCGGAGTGCTTGGACTACAGTGGGTTATTCTGAGTCTCAGGCCCAGCCTCTGGTATTTGGATCCTGGTTCAAAAAAAAAAAAATTCTCTTCATCAAGCTGCAGTCCTCCTGTGTGTTAGGAAATTCCCCAACTTACCCGGGCCAGAGGGCGTCTAGCTCCAGGCTTAGGGTGCAGTACCTTGCCTGGGGGCCCAGAGTTACAGGAACCGAGTCCTGGAAGCTCCCGCCTGATGTGCACCTGGTGCGCCTCCACCCAGAAGTGGCTCAGGCCTGAGATGCTGGTGGCTACCTGTTTTTCTGTCGCCCACCCCCACCACCAGCTTTCACTCCTACTTCTAGAAAGGAAGACCTGTGAGGAGGGAATGGCAGGTCGTGGTTCCTCCACTAAAACTCCTGGTTCTTCTGGAGGGATTTATTTTTGTGGATCATCAGCCCCATAACCAGGAGTGCAACTGCCCAGCTCTCCTTAGAGAAGAGGTTGTTGTTTTCCGTGACGGTGGTGGTGGTGCTTGTTGTTTTGTTGCTGTAGCTAAGCCCTGAACTAAGTCGGTCACTAATGGAAGTCCTTATCTTTCAAAGGGCCAACTCTTCCTTTACTTTTTTACCTAGCCTGTGTTGGGAAGGACATGGATGGTTTGGTTTTTGCCAACATACAGCTAAGGAATATTTGTTGGGGCCTGTTTTGGGGGCGGAGGTGCAGAGACACGTGTGTGGGGGTGGTGTTTGGAAACAGTGGTGGGCTCCTTCCGCAGGGTACTGATGTTCTTTCCCAGTGGGTGTTCTGGCCTCCGGTTCAAGGAACCGCCCAACTCAAATCTGAAACCCGAGGTCGACGAGCTCCCCCAAGCAGGCCTACTCCACCTGGAAAGATTTCTGCAGATTTCCTCCATTTTATCATCACTATGGGGGTACCGCCTTCATCTTGGTGTTCACAATGCCCATCATGACACAAAATGAATATTATTATTTTCATAACTATTGGTTTCGGAAGGCAGTCCACGCCCCAGGACCCACGTCCGGGAAAGACAAGAGGCCCACCCACTCCTGACCTTCAGGCCAGTACAGTTTAGAGACATTCTGCCCTCCCACCGCCACTACTCTTAAAGTAGCAGCTATGCGCCCGTCCCCACGAAGCGCCTTCCCATAGCTGGCCCTCAGCTTCCCTCCTGCAGCTCCCCGGAGCCCCAGACCAAGGCTGGCGCTTTGCTTTGCCAGCTCCGGCTTAGTAGGTGCCTCTGAGCGAGAAAGTCGCTTCCGCTCACATGTAAATGTCAGGTGCAGCAAATAAAGTGGGAGAAGGAAAACAAACAAGCCGACAAACCGCTGCGGAATAAAAGATCCCTTTTTCCATCCGTTTTGCTTTGCAGATCAGGCTTAGCAGGAGAGGGTGGGGGAGCCAACCAGAGCTGGCTGGTGGTGTCCACAAAGGCTGGTGGTGTCGGCAAGCGGCAAAGCGGGTGAAGAATTGAAGCAGTGAGCTGGATAAATCGGGGCAAAGCACTAAACTATGAAATATTTTGGAGACGCGTGTACTTGTGGGTGGGTGGACAAAGGGCTCATCATCACTCGTATGATTGCCTCAATTCTCCACTTCCTTTGTGCGCGTTTGTGGACGCAGTTCCAGGCCCAAATCAGCCTCCAGCGCAGCGCGCCCAGCGCCGGGTCAGCCAGGCGTCCGGGGGTCCCCAGCTCGCGCAGCTTCTACAGCCTGGAGGAGTCGGCACCGAGAAGGTCGACAAGGCGCAGGTGGCCAATTTTCTTCACCTCGCCCAGGGCGGTGCGCAGCTCCTGCGCTGGCTGGCAGTGCAGCCGGCGCTCCAGCTCTCTAGGCACCGCTGCCCGGTCGCTGAGACGCGCGGCGAGCACGAAGGGGAAGCCGAAGCGCGCGCGGTACTGCGCGTTGAGCTTCTCCAGCTGCTGCCGCTCTTCTGCGCTCAGGCTTGTCAAGCCCGCGCCGCTCTGTTCCCGCTGCGATTCCGCAGTGAGCGTGCCCCGCTGCTGCTCGCGACCCGCCAGGTCCGGGTGGCAGCGCAGGATGCCCTCCTGTCCTGAGGAGAGAAACAGACATTCGGTGGGAGCGTGTTACGGCGCCCGCTCCTCTCCAAGCAGCTGGGAGAAAGCGCCGCGCTTCTGGCTGCTGGCTCCGCGGGGTCGCCGCTTGCCGACTCAATCCAGCCCCCTACTCCGCCCCGCCCGGTGGGAGGCTGAGGGAGGGAAGACGGGTTCCGGGATAGTGGCGTCCTGGCGGCGCAAGGGCACCCACTGCACCCTCCCTTTTCACAAGCCCCAGACCTCGCGACCCTCTGTCCCGCAACATTCGGTCCCCACCGGGACCGGGGGCGGGGCGGGAGTGACAAGTTTGTCCTTTGAGACCTTGGGGCAAGTAGAGTGGAGGGGAGAAAGGGCGGCCGCGGAGGCTCGGAATTTACGACCTGCTTGGGAGAGAGCGGGGACGCGATAAGGAGCCGAGCATTTCGTATCTTTTCAAAGTCCTTTGCTCTCAGGGGGGCTTTGATGTTGAAAGGGGCCGGACGCAAGGGCCTGAAGACTTCCTGCAAAAGCCCTGGAATGAGTTTCGTTCTGCTCCAAAGGAGAACAGGCAGGGGCGGGGTGGATCCTTGGGATAATATCCATGGGGCTTGGCAAATAAATGCCCAAGATTTTGTGACCCTAAGTGTGAGTCCTGGGTTTCTGGAATCAAGCATCCAAAGCACCTCGGAGATTAGCTGCAAAGAAACCCATTTCCAACCGGAATTCCACAGCCCTTTGAATGCAAGGGACTTTCCTCTTTTTAGGAAAATTACAGCCACCCACCATCCACTCTGCTAGGGGTTTATTCCCCTTCTTCCACTGTAGATTCCTAAGAGTCTCCGGGAGTTCTCTTGGAATACAGCTTCTCTTAATCTCTTAGGCCTAAAATTGGGGAAACCTTGCTGTAATACCTGGAATCCCAATTCCTAACCCAGGCGTTTTCTTTGAGCCCTGGGTAATCTTTCTGCTTAGCACTCCAAAGAGAGAATTAGAATTCCTCTGTCTAAGCAAGATACAGTAAGCAGAGAGTGACTATCAGTTAAATTAGGGCAATGACACCTAACTTGCCGAGTTGTTGTGAGGATTAGAGACAATTCATTTACCCAAAGCACATGCCTAATGCCTAGTAAACATCAATAGTCATTATTATTACTTGTAGTAAACCCAGTGGAACTGGACCAAGGTACCACAGGAAGTCCTTGACTCTTCCTATCTCAATAAAGCCATTGTCTGCCTTTGGCACTGGGAATAGGTATGCGGTTCTATTGGAAATGGGGACCATTTAATGCACCCTTTCATACATTATATATCAACAAAGCTGAGAAGTTTTTTAAAAAACTTTATGATGTAGCCCCTTCTTTCTCAAACTGTATAGTATCTGCCCAATAAAAGCACGGTTAGGATTATGCTATCAAATCATCACCAAAGTTTGGGGGCTTAGAAAGAATTGAGGGGTGAATAATGTTTTAGTAAGAGTATTGGATGAAAGCTCAGAGAGGTTATGTGGCCTGTCTAATGTCACTCAGTGGACTGCACCTGGACCCTCACCCCAAAATCCCAATCGTTTTTTAGGGGCCTGGTTGCCGAGCAAGGTTAAAGAGAGTTCAAAAGGAAACTCGCCAATAATCCTACCTCTCTAACACCATTGCTTTCTAGCTCCTCCCTTGGGTGCCCTGCCCCTTGGCCACTGCAAGCTGGATTAGTTCTCCTTTGCTCCCCGTGTCCAGCCTGGGCTGACCGGATGGTGCGAAAATGTGGGTGTTAAATTCCCCACCCTGGGGGAGCTGCCCAACCCTGGGCCCACGGTTGGCCGTGTAACGCCACGCGGCTCAGCGCCAGGATACAGCCACCCATCCACCCTGTGCGACCACCCAGTCCCGGCACCAGCAAACCACCCTGGCTGCGCGGAAATAGGAAATGCGAGATATGGAGCCTTTGCCAGGATCAACAGGACACCTCCTCTTCACATACTGTTTCAAAGCAGTCAGTCCGTCCACTCAGTCAGTCAGGGGGCTCCAACTCCCCATCCCCCCATTTATCACTCTTTCCAGGACCAGCCCAAGCTGCGGGAAGTGGGCAGGGGTCTTTCCACCCATCGCCCCCTTGCACCTGATCCCCAGTGCACTCGGGTAGCAGCCGCAGGTGGCAGAGCAGCTGGGTCTCCTGAACGCCAGATCTGCCTCTTGCCCTTCTTGCCCTTGCACCTCGCTTCTCACTCCCCTTGGATTTATCTCCCATCTTGAAAGCATCGCCCTGGGGTTAATGTTTGCCTAAGACTGAGCATGTATTTTCTACTCTGGCCGGGAGGAAAGGAGAGAAGAGAAAGGGGACCGAGAAGAGGGCAGAGAAAGGGCAGATTAGATTGAAAAAAGAGGAACTGAAATGTACACAACACCAGCATGCAGGTGTGTGCGTGTGCGTGTGTGTGTCACACACACACATACACACACACACACACACACACACACATCCTTCAGCTGCCTATAATAGAAAGAGGTGTTTGGAGGAGTCCCCAGGGCATGGTGAGCTACCCAAAAGAAATACAACCTGACCTGCTCCAAGACTCAACCTTCCTTGCCCCAAATCACTAAGCCCTCCTGTGCTGTAAAATTGTGTCCACCAGCTCATAGATTTGCAGCAAGAACCCTCCCTTCCTCACTCCAAAGCCTCACCAATGTAGTATCCCAGAGTTACTCCAGCTATGGCCATAAATCCCAGGGAAGGACTGGAGACTGTGGGCTGTCTCCAGTCCTGGGGGTTCCCCACCTGGGATGCCCACATGCTCCTGGGCCACCCCAATGCCCTAATTGGTTCTAAGAACATCTTCAATGCTGCCTGTTCTTTTTTTTTCCCCTGAAATTCTGGACTTACTGATTGTGCTACTGGCTATCACTTCTAAAGATATAGGTGTGAATGTGTATTGCTGGAACTACAGGATGTGAATCTGCACATAGAGGAGTTCCTGACATAACCTACCCTCTGTTCCCAGAGGAGAAGAAAGTGTGTGTGTCGGGTGCAAGGATGGCCAGTGACCAGCAGACAATTGCTCAGAGTCCCATAGCAGTCCACATGCCTCCCTGAGTCTGTTCCCACTACTGTGTTCTCACTTTCTGGCATGAGATGATTTTTCCCTCTATCAAATACCAGCCCCTCCATTTGTGTTCTTGAAGGCTCCTGGGCCCCCTTTCTTTCTCAGACTTTTACTTCTGCAATTTCAGATATTGGTACACCCCCATCCTTATCCAAACATGCTTTAGAATGTTTCATCCCATAAACAAAACTAAAATCTTCCTTTGATTCCCTTCTGTCATCTAAATTCTCCTTCCCCTTTTCCTATCTTCAAAGGAGTTGTCTAGTTCTCTTTCCAGATTCATTCTATCAAGCTTGCAGTCCCACCCCAAACCAACCTGTATTCCTGAGGCTCACAGAAGACAGGCATCTTGCTTGAGCACAGTGCCTAATGCCCATCCTCTTCTTTCTCCTGAAAATGTCACAGGGTCGACTCTCCTCCTCACTTCTTTGATCCTGCTCTGCCAGCTCTACACTGAAGTACTCCAGGACTCAGGACTCAGTGCTTTCCTTCTCCATTTACCCACTAAGTGCTCTAATCCAGTCCTGTGGTTTTAAATACCATCAATTCTCTGGTGACACCCAGACCTAGGTTAGCACCTAGCTTTCCATTGAGTTCCTTTGCTGTGTTCCAACTAAATACTCACCAGTTTCATTTGGATGGTTATTAGGCATCTCAGACTTAGCAAACTTCCTACTTCCATCTCTACCTCCCAATTCTAGGTCTTCAGCACTTCAAAAAGAACACCACCAACCACCCAGTTGCTCAGACTAAAACTTAAGAGTTATCCTTAATAGTCTTTGTTTCTGATCTTCCTCTCTGCCCATCAAATCCACTAAAAATGATCCTTTTGTCTCTAACATCTGTTCTGGAAATTCAGTGACATCTCTCCATCTTTACTACCCCAATCGTAGTCCAAGCAAGCCCATCTTTCACTTTACTCCTACAACAGTCCCTGGACCTCATCTCCCTGGACCTGATGTGGTCCCCACACAACAACCATTTTAAAAGGTAAACCTGATGGTGTCTCACTACACATGGAGGAAACCAAACTCTTTACCTGAAAAACTCTCCACAATCCGACCCTGTCTGATTCTTTCCCCTCACATCCCTCCACTCTTCACAACTCTCCAATCACTTTTGTCTTTCTGTGTCCTCGCAAATATCAAATTCATTCCAAACCCAGGTACCGTTTCCCATAGTAACCTCATTCTATGTCTTGACCGCTTCCTTTTTATCTTTTGGTTTTAAATTTAAATTCCACCTTCTAAGAAAGACCTCCTTTATTTTCTACGACATACATATTTTCTTCTAATGATTTATTGAATCTGAAAGAATCATATTTATTTATGTTAATTCTGTCTTCATTAGAATATAAGACCATTGAAGGCACTGATCAGTGCGCACGATGGTGCATGAATCATACATAGGGGACGCTCAGAAAGCATTTATCAGCCAACTTATCACTCTTGAGGAGGAGTATTATTTATTTATTTTTGGACTAAATAAACAAATGAACATATTTTGTGTGTTTTCAGGGTTGCTGGGGATGATCGAACTAGAGGTGCTCTATAATTAATTTATTCCCCCAATAGCTCCCCCACTTTTTTTGAGACAAGGTCTCACTAAGTTGCCTGCTCTGACCTTGAACTCGAGATCCTCCTGCCTCAGCAGAATAGCTGGGATTACAGGTATGTGCCTCAGTGCCTGGCCAAATGAACACATTTTAATAGCTTGATCTAAACCTCTTCTAGCCCGTATATAAGAGAAATCTTAGTATCTAATTGCTTCATTAATTTAACAAATCTATTCTCTGATAAGTATTAAGCATTAAGTTATGGCATTACTTAATTCTGAAACATCACGTCACTGTGTAATTAACTCTTAGGAAAGTTTTATTGCTTTTGGTGGGGGTGGGGAGGTTGCTAGAGATTGAATCCAGAGCCTTGTGGTTGCTAAACTCTACCACTGAGCTACATCCCAGCCCACTCTTTGATTTTTAACACCAATCAGTCCTGAATTGGCTCAAGTTGTGGGTGTGTTTCAACCTGCCTCCTTCTACTATAGCCATTCCTCTTGTTTGGGAAGCCTTTCCCCTCAAGGCTAGTTGAGGGAAACTGGCTAGAGAGGATGCTTTGTCAGGTAGGGCAGGAGCCAAACATTGATCCTGTACTGCCATCTACTGGCCAATCATCACTATCTCTAACCTAAATGGACTGCCAACTTTGGTTTACTGTAGAAATTGATTTTCAGTTGTCTGTCAATGGTATTCCTAGATCACCTAAAACAAATCCTTGACCAGGCAAATTACCATATCCTGTGCATCTCTCTAAGGTCTTTTCTAGTTTTCTACTATACCCAGTTTGTTCTTTACTATCCAAAGGCAAAAGCTAGATTATGCAATAAATCCCATTTTGATTTTTTTTGACAAATAAATGTTGTATATATTATGGTGAAAAACTTGATGTTTGACAAATGTATGCATTGTGAAATGCTGAAATCAAGTTATTTAACATATCCATTACCTCACATACTTACTTTGTTTTCTTTTGGTTTTGTGGTCCTGGGGATGAAACCCCGGGGCCTTAATGTGCTAGATAAACACTCTACCACTGAGCTACATTTCCAGCCCACGTGCTTACCTTTTGATGTTAAAAACATTTAAAAATATATACTTTAGGCTGGGGGGTGGTGGTGCATGCCTGTAATCTCAACAGCTCGGGAGGCAGAGACAGGAGGATCTCAAGTTCAAAGCCAGCCTCAGCAATTTAGCAAGGTGCTAAGCAACTCAGTAAGAACCTGTCTCTAATAAAATACAAAACAGGGCAGGGATATGGCTCAGTTGTCGAGTGCCCCTAAGTTCAATCCCCTCCTCCCCCAAAAATCTATACTTTAAGCTGGGGAGTACCTTTATGGTAGAGCACTTACCTTGCATGCATGAAGCCCTGGGTTCAATCCCCAGGACTATAATAAAATAAAGTCTGTGCTCTAACCAACTGTCAAGTATACAATAGATTATTATTCACTATAGTTGCCACACTTTGCAATAGATCATTTTATTTGACTACTTGAACAACAAAACATGGAGTCTGAGAAACCAAGGATTAATGTGAATTGAATTAGTGAATGAATAATAAATACCCTTAGATACTGTTTCTAGATTCTGTATCTGATTCATTGGAACTGGGTTAACTCCCAGTTCTGCCTCTTTCTTCAAAAGCCACTGGGACGATTATGAGAGAGTTATTAGAATCCTAGTTCTGCCACTTTCTAGCTGAGTGTCCTTATTCAAATTAATCTCTCTGTGTCTACCTCAGTTTTCTCATCTCTAAAATGGGACAATCAATTCTAATAGCACTACTGATTTTAAAGGATTATTACAGGGATTGAATCAGTTAACAAATGCAAAGTGTCTGGAACAGTACCTGGAATACACCAGTGGTAAAAGTTCAATAAATGCAGGCTATCTGTTATTATTATCACCATTGCTAACATTACTTATCTAATGTCATTAAGATGATTAGATACAGACAGCCACCCGGTCAGCATGGAGGCTCTGCTCCCAGCTGCCTCCTGGACACCAGGAGAGGGCTGAGAAGCAGGGGGTTCCCCTCAAAGAGCTATCTACTGTGGAAGCAAAGAACAGTCCAGTTGGCCCAAATTCCCTCCAGCCATTTTGTCCCTCTGACCCATACTAAAATCACCAAGTTAAAACATGAGGGAAAGAGGCTATACTAGGATCCACCCTCTTTCAACAGCACGTCAGGTATAGTTACGTTCACTTGTTGAGCACACTTCTATCAAATCTTAATATCCCACTCACTGAGTGCTCTAGAGTTCCAACACCAGCTGGGAGACAGCGGCTCCACCCCATCGGGAAGGATATTGAAACCTGCCTCAGGAGGGAGGTAGTACCCCAGCCTGCCCCACACCCCAAGAACCTCAGGTCAAACAGCTCGGGGGGAGTGTTGGTGGGAAAGAAGATAAAAAGGGGATATTTTCATTTTATTATCTAAGTTCCAAGTATAGAGCAATAAACTTCAAATGTTTGTTGAATCACTGGACAAATCAATGACTAATAAATTTGAGTCATCCTGCCTTTTCTCTTTTAATATATTCCCTCCTTGGCCCTGACACTTTTTTGGGTGTTAAGACAAATCCTGGGATTTTCCTTCTCCTGATAGAAAATGTCATGAAAACCTTTTAAATGTGGATTCCCCCTGAGGCTGAAGAGCTTTTCATTTTCCCTCCTTTATTTTCTGGTCAGGCCTTGTGAGCTTGGGCTCCCGTAGTCCCCTGCTCCTTCCAGCTCACCTGGCAGGCTTTGAGCTGAGAAGCCGGAGTCACCTTGCTCAGTGTGGGTCAGAGGACTCCAAGTCTGCCAGCCCCCTTCACACCTGAGCCTGTGGCTGCCAGAACTTTGAGGAAACCCCAAGAAGTGGGTGAATGTCAGCCCAGCCCCCATGTATCTGTCAGTTTGATTTTCATAACATCACCCTCTGCTCTTCCTAGATGTGCCCCAAATGAACTTAACTGAGTTCCTCATCTTGGAGGCTTTCCTCTGACAACTGGAGGCCACGCAGGATCTCAAAGTTCTGTGGGCTCCTTCATGGGACAGAGGAGAGCTGCAGGTCTCATTCCCGGATCCAGAGGTCTGTGGAAGGCCACTGTGTGAAGGTGGCCCTCGTCCCCTATCCTCATTCCCTGCGGCATTTCAGGTCCTCCACAGGGTATGGAGCCCCCTGGGCTGCTAGCCCTGGGCCTCAGAATCCCTGTGCAGCTGGGCCTCAGTCCTGCAGGCTGGCCTACACCGCCACCCCTCTCCTCCCCCATCCGAGCCAGAAACGCCTCAATGTTCTCTTTCTCTTCAGAAGAAACTAATAATTCATTTCCCTTTCTCCAGAGGGATCTCCTCAGTTTCTCCTCTTCTCCCCCCTTACTCTTCCGGGGAGTCCCTGAGCTGAATGAATTCTCTTTCCTCAATAGTAACTTCCAAACTGGCCCTGGCTGGTAAAAATGTAAGCTGCCTGCTCTTTCCCCAGCCTCTGAGGTTTCCTGGTATCTAGCTCTCACCTCTCTCACCTACAGGACACTGCCGCAGTGAACACTGTGTGGCCAAGTGGGGGTGGGCCCTCCGCCTGACCTTTGGCCTCTAAATCACTATGAGGCCTTTCACCCCGGTCCCCCTGGTGACCTCCATGTCTAATATTTAACAGTGACTCTACCTTAGCTCACGTAAGTTGTTTCAAGCCACTTTGGGCCTAACACCTTGCAAGTGCTCAGCTTCTTACTGAACCCAAGGACATTGATTAATTAAACCTAATAAAAAGAGCTGAAAGGAGCAAGTATAAGCAACTAGACCAAGAGACCTATATGTCTACATCTATCTACCCATATATTTATTTATTTGGTATCGGGGATTGAACCTAGGGGTGCTTAGCCACTAAGCTACATCCCCATTCCTTTTTTATATTTTTATTTTGAGACGGGGTCTCACAAAATTGCCAAGGTTGGCTTTGAACTTGTGATCCTCCTGCCTCAATCTCCTGAGTTGCTGGGATTTCAGGCATGTACCACTGTGCTTGGCTTCTAAAAGATTAAAAAAAAAATTTTTTAAATTGTAGATGGGCACAATTCTATCTATCTATCTATCTATCTATCTATCTATCTATCTATGACTGGGGATTGAACCCAGGGGCACTTAACCATTGAGCCAGATCTCCAGCCTTTTTTCATGTTTTATTTAGAGACAGGGTCTGGCTGAGTTGCTTAGGGCCACGCTTGCTAAATTACTAAAGCTGGCTTTGAACTCACAATCCTCCTGCTTCAGCCTCCCAAGCCACTGAGATTACAGGTGTGTGCCACCATGCCTGGAAATACCTTTATTTTATTTATTTTTATGTGGATTGAACCCAGTGCCCCCCACACGCTAGGCAAGCACTATCCCACTGAGCTACCAACCACAGCCCCTCTAAAAACATTTAGATAAGCATATTTGAAATCCTTTTGTGTCGAATACTGAGTGCCTAATACTGAAGCCTTACCTGACTGTGGAAGAGCATCTATAAAGGCAAAAAAGTGCTTCTCTAAATCTTCCAAGTCAAAGAACGGACGCTGGGACCAGACAGCTGCTGCAATCAGAGGACACCTCTCAATGACATTTCCAAACACATCCACAAATTCTCCAAAGTCCATGGAATTGACTTTCTCCATGTTCATCGCTTGTGTTCACACGGAGGCAGCAAGATGCCCTGCTCCTCTGGGCGAGTGAGCCGACTGTTGCTCACTGGGCTATATTTGCTGAATGCACAAGCTTGTCTGTTTTTTTGATTTTTTTTTTTTATGCAATACCAGTTTAGCATGTTCTAACTGCCTCTGGGAGAAGCAGGTCCAGAACACTTAAGTAATCATCAATAAACATGTGCTTAAGGGATTTTGTTTGTTTTGTAGTGCTGGGAATTACCAGGGCTGTGTGCATGCTAGGCAGGTTCTCTATCACTGAGCTGTACCCCAACTCAGGCATAAGGTTGTAATACCAGAGCAGAGATCTCTTCGTGGTGAATGTATCCAATTAAGACATTTCCAAAATCAAACTGAGTAGTGGCCATAGTTCACCCTCAGTACCCAAGCCAGATAGACTTGGTGTCATTAACATTTTAATGCCATTGTTATCCTGGTTTCCCTGACAATTCGGACAGGTCATAGGTCAATCCTCTTGGAACTTAGATTGGGAACACATTTCCATCTGTTATTGCTGCTGCTACAGAGGACAGGACCTACGGTTCACTTTTCCTCTGAATCCAAACACTTAACACAAGAGGTAATAAATGCACATGAAACAAGATGAGGTATCTCAGGAACAATTCTGTCCCAGTCTCTGTGCTCTCTTGAGCACCACTATGTGTTACTTTCTCCTTGAGTATATCTATTCTTTTGTAAAATCACCTTCATTATTGCATTTATTATGCATGTAATCTGTCAGCCCCAACTGACCCATGAGGCTATAGACTATGTATCTTGAGTCTCTATATCTTGGGAGCCTAAAACTGTGCCATAGGAGGATCACAGTGAACTCACTGTGGCATAAATTCACCATAGGGTGAATTGAACTAATTGACCACACGAATTAGATTTCACACCCTATGCAAGCACAATACAAAAATAACGTGAAAAGAATAACATGTTAATTGCAGTACTATTTATGATAGCAAAGCTATGGAATCAGCCTATCCAGATGAATGGATAGCCATCAACAGATGAATGAAGAAAATGTCACACACACACACACACACACACACACACACTCTGAAATACTAATCAGCCATGAAGAACAATATCAAACCATTTGAAGGAAAATGATTTGAGATCCTCATGTTAAGCAAAATAAGCCAGACAAAGACAAGAATTGCATTTCATATGTGGAATCTGGAAGGAAAATTTTAAAAAGACATCGTGAAAGTAGGAAGAAGATGATTAGGGAAGGGGACCAAATCATATAGGGAGAGTGGATATGATGAAAACATGTTACGCAAATGTATGGAAACATCACGTCAAAACTTTTTTTTTTTTTTTTACAATTGATATGCACTAAAAATTATGATGTACATAAACATTGAGTATTACAAAAACAAACAGAGGCAGGGGTCAGAAATTAAAAGCAAAGATTGCCAGTATTTCCCTTTAGAACTAAAAATGCAAACATGTCTCCTAAAACCATACCAGTTACACATTTACCTCCATGTGAATCACGATTCAGCATGAGAGCGGCAGCTTTAGGATTAATGAAGCAGTCTTTTCAGCTTACACTGTGGTCTTCAAAGCAGGGGACCAGTGCTGGTGCAATTTGTCAACAGCCAAGGGTTTTGTCCTGCTTCTGTCTGTAGCCAGTTCCCCAGCTGCATCTGCACCCCAGGGATCTGGGCCACCCCAGAAATAAGCTAATGAAAATTTGCTTTCCAAAAGAGGTGAATCTGGTGCCAGAAGTCCCACCGTTAGTGGACTTTGTTTCAAACATGGAACGACAAAGAATATTTCACAGAGTGTCCCCAACTTAACAAGATTCCACTTATGATTTTTCAACTTCATGATGGTGCAAACGTGTTACACATTCAGTAGGAACTGTCCTTGGAATTTTGAATTTGGATCTTTCCCTGGTCAGCTCCTCCAGGTCTCATCCTCTCTTGCTGTGCTGGGCAGTAGCAGTGACCTCAGCTCCCAGTCAGTCCTGGAGGGTTATAAGAGAATCTCTATAGTGTGCTTTGCTGCTGAGCCAGGATGATAAGTAGGTTACAGGGATCATGTGCATTTTTTACTTATCTTTAATTTTAGATGGGCCCATCAGGATGTAACACCATCGTAAATTGAAGAGCATCTGTGTTATCATATACCTGTGTATTTGTGAAAAAAATTAAACCTCATACTGGGTATGCAGTTTTGGACAGCACTGCAGAGAATAGGGAGCTGGGCTCAGGAGCCAGAATTCCTAAGTTCTAATCCTGCCTCCACCACTTACTATCGAGCATGTGGCAAGTTACTGAACTTTTCTATACTTCATTTCTTCATCTGTAAGTTGGAATAATGATAGTATTTTCCTGAGGGGAAGCTTACAAAAATTAAATTAATCAATGTACAAAAGTGCTCAAAATGGTTCTCATCACGTAACACTACATAGTTATTGGCTAACACAATATCTCCTGTGTTCGGTCCTCCATGGGAACAAACATTTTCTTTTTTTCCTTCTGCCATTAGGGAGTCACAGCCTGGTTTCCTTATCCATGTGGGTTTTGCCACAGACACCTCAACAGCTCAACCCCCATCTCTTCTCCTTCTTTCTCCAGCACATCAGCCTCCATTAGCTCTAGAGTTGACCTGTGTGGCATCTGCAGTGTCAGGTGGAGACTGGGCAAAGGGAAGGGACAGTCTATGCGAGGCCTCCCTAGTGTCCCTAGGGCCCCCCCTACTGGACTTCCAGACACTCCCAGGCTTAGAGCACTTTCAGCCCCGGGGGCTGCAGTAAGTGAGAGAGGACGCAGAGTGAGGGAGAAGGGCCTTGACCACCCATTGGCTGGGGACTGCGACCAGGCACAGTGAGACAGTGGTGGAGGGAGTCCCCAACACCTGCAGTCATCCAGCGAGGTGGTGAGGAGGTAGGCACGCATGGGGACCAGAGAGGCCCCGAGTTCATTCTCTTTGAGTCTCTAACTAAGCAATTTCAGCTTCTTGAGTTTTGGCTTTGCCATCTGTTAAACTGCCACAGAACAAACAGCTTGTTCAATGAGACCGTCTTTAAGAAGCCTTTAGTCCAGGTCTAGAATATAGTATGTTATCCATAAGTGTTAATAAAATATCATCTAAGCAAACCTTGAAGACATTAGGTGAAATAGGCAGTCACAAAAAATACTGTCTTATTCTAATTATTACTCAGAATAGTCAGAAAGGGAGGCTGGTAGGAGCAGTGGTAAAAGGTGATCCAAGACATTTTCCTGTAGCTGGCCAAGGCCCCAAGGCGTTTATCTTTCTCCTAAAAAAATACCTTGGAGAGGGAAATGGGTTCTTCATTTTTGATATGGGAAGCCAGTCCCAGCCCCCCGAAACCCTAAGCATGGCAGGTGCCCCAGTCTGTGGACCAGAACCCTGAGAGCCAGGTCCCAGAGAAGGATCTAACCTGAGGATGCTTAGTGAGAGAAATCTGGTAAGAAACGAACTTAAAATGCACTCATTGCCATAGTCACCAAATGACTGAATCCTGAATGAATTAAAGTTATCTGCATAGAAGGTTGTTTTTCTTCATATCAACGGATTGATCTTTTCTTTAACTCTGCATGCAGCTTAAAATTTGCCTTTCCAAAGGGCAAGGAGTACTAACAAAATGAGGCTAAGTTCTTGGGAGTCGATTTTCAAACAGCGGTGCTAGGGCGCCACCTGCTGGCAGGATCACGACAAGGCCGAAGTGGCTACCTTAGTAAACCTGCAACTCCCCTGGGAATTGATCAAAGTGGGCTGTGGGCAGATGTACGAATATAGCACAATTAATCCCATTATTATATCTGATTATAATGCACAAATACAAATTTTAAAGATAAAATGTTTCTAACAAATAAAATGAGATTTTGAAAATTGTGTTTTGAAAATGGAAAGTTAAGTCAGGGACACAAATTGATACAAACTAAAACTGAATCTGTGGTTTAATAAGATTCTAATTTCATTTTCCATTAAGAGGTTTTTAAGGACCGTCATTCTTCAGGAATTGTTGCCTCATAAATATCATGTTTGGCATGTTAAAAAGTATAGCATATACAAGTCATGTTAAAAAGTACAGTAATATAAAGAATATCTGTGAATCACCACCCAACCCACCCACCCCCCAAAAAATTCAAGTGTCATTAGTGTGAGAATAATAAATAGCATGTTTTTGTAATTGTATGTTTTGGTAATTGTATGTTCAGAAATGAAGGAACTCCAGCTCCATGTTATATAGGTTGAGTAGCCCTCATCCAAAATACTGGGACCAGAGTGGTTCAGATTTTGCACTTTTTAGATGTTGGAATACTTACATATACAAAATGAGATACCTGGGGATGGGCCCCAAGTCTAAGCACAAAATTCATTTCTTTTACATACGACTTATACATGTAGCCTGAAGATAATTTGTTTTTTTCTCCTGGGGATTGAACACAGCAGCACCTTACCACTGAACTACATCCCCAGTCTTATTTATTTATTTATTTAAATTCTGAGACAGGATCTCACTAAGTTGCCTAGGCTGATCTCAGAAACGTGTGCTCTTCCTGCCTCTGCCTCCTGAATTGCTGGGATTACAGGCATGAGCCATCACACCCAGCTCTGAAGGCAATTTTATACAATATATGCACCTGCGTTTTGGTTGCAACCACCCGTCACATGGGGTTAGGTGTGGAATTTTCCACTCATGGAGTATCATGTTGGCTCAAAAATTTTTGGATTTTGTGCTGGTGTGGCTCCAGTGGCTCTGGAGGCTGAGACAGGAGGATCGTGAGTTCAAAGCCAACCTCAGCAATGGCAAGGCACTAAGCAACTCAGTGAGACCCTGTCTCTAAATAAAATACAAAATAGGGCTGGGGATGTGGCTCAGTGGTTGAGTGCCCCAGTACCAAAACATATATATTTTTTTAGATTTTGATTTTGAAATTAAGATTTTTGGGTTAGGGGTGTTCTCAATATGAACCATGAATGAGTCTTAGAAGCATAATATTGATTTTTTTTTAAAAAAAGGAAAC